ACCAACACAGGGCTCTCTTCTGTCATCTCTTTCACCAATCAGAGGGTACTAGCCATCAATCGTTGGCCAGAGCCCACTGATCATCTTGTGCTGTAGCAAATGCCAACACAGGTGGGGTGGCGGGTGCACGCACCGCCTACCCAGAAGTGCCGGATCACGTACATATATGTGCTTCAGCGCAGTGGAGGCACTCTGTATGTGAAATATATATGTATATGGAGTATATATACAGTGAGGAACAGAAGTATTTGAACACCCTGCAATTTTGCAAGTTCTCCCACTTAGAGAAATCATGGAGGGGTCTGAAATTCCCTTTGAACATAAGTATTTGAACACCTAAAAAACAGCAAGAATTCTGGCTCTCAAAGACCTTTTACTGTGCCTTTAAAAAGTCCACCTCTACTCCACTCCACTCCACTCATTAAATCTAACTTCGTAGCACCTGTCTGAGCTCTTTAAAGACACTTGTCCACCCCACAGTCAGTCAGACATTGTAGGTGCATTCCCACTCTGAGAGACAGAAGTTAAAAAAAGAAGTTAAATTCAGGAAATCACATTGGAGGTTCACAATTTTGTCTCTGGTGTCTTTTGACAGCTCTTTAGTCTTGCCCATGGTAGTAGTTGGTGTCTGACTGACTGTGGGGTGGACAAGTTTCTTTAAAGAGCTCAGACAGGTGCTACGAAGTTAGATTAATGAGTGGAGTGGAGTAGAGGTGGACTTTTTAAAGGCACAGTAAAAGGTCTTTGAGAGCCAGAATTCTTGCTGTTTTTAGGTGTTTGCAAATACTTATGTTCAGCAGTGCAAGACAAATCCATTCTTTAAAAAAAGGCTCATACAATGTGATTTCCTGAATTTTTTTTTTTTTTTTTTTAAATTCTGTCTCTCAGAGTGGGAATGCACCTACAATGGGAATTTCAGACCCCTCCATGATTTCTAAGTGGGAGAACTTGCAAAATCGCAGGGTGTTCAAATACTTATGTTCCTCACTGTAAGTGGAAAAATAATGGATCTCTGAGCGGGAAAACTATCAACTTCTACTATGTTTATGTTGTTGACAAACTATTCTACATAATTTTTATTGTTGTTCATCATTTTATTTAACTGTCAATGCTAGAACTGAAGATAGGTGAGAATAAAAGTTGGCCATATGTGGATCGAATTTTGATTCATGCAAGTCCAATTCCTTTCTATAGATCAACTTCTCATGAACTGCTTGTTGGTAGATTCTCACTCAATCAATTGATGCAGCCAATAAGGTTGCGGATCTGATCAGTGTATTCTGATGGTGGAGTAGTCTCCCCTCTGTCAGAATAAAGGGACACAGCGGGAAGGATCCCTCCCATCCATATCGTGTGTATGGAGAAATTGGGTGATTTGTATTTCTTTCTATCCAGTCCTGAGATTTACACAGCCCTAGCCCATAGCACAACCAACAGGATGAGTTTAATTTCTCTGTTAGTTTTAGACTGTAGGAAGAATACACAGTGCCATCATCACTTGCTGTGCGGAAAGTGGAAGAGCAGCAGCAGACTGATGAAATCATCCCTCTGCTCTCTTCCCCATTAGCATGTCCCTTATCAATACATTAGCATTCAGCAGGCTTGATTGGCTCCCTGTCCTGCCCTGGCCTCTCCTAGTCTGACATTCCTAACAGTTGTCTTTTCGTTCCTCAGTTAACCTGTCTGACTCATGAACTCTGCAATACTTGATCCAGTCCTGTATCCTCTATTGTGGTGGTCTCCAAACTGAGGCTCTTCTCTTGCTTTTATCTGGCATTTGGGGCACTATTGTTCTCACTGACACCAACAATAGGGCACTATTCCTTCGCTGACACCAAGAGAGGAGTACCAGTCCTTCCGCTGACACCAAGAGAGGAGTACCAGTCCTTCCGCTGACACCAAGCTGACACCAAGAGAGGAGTACCAGTCCTTCCGCTGACACCAAGAGAGGAGTACCAGTCCTTCCGCTGACACCGAGGAAGGGGCACCCCGTGACACCAAGAGAGGAGTACCTTTCCGCTGCCCCGTCCGAGGAAGGGGCACCCGTCCTTCCGCTGCCACCGAGGAAGGGGCACCCGTCCTTCCGCTGCCACCGAGGAAGGGGCACCCGTCCTTCCGCTGCCACCGAGGAAGGGGCACCCTTCCTTCCGCTGACACCGAGGGGCAGGGGAGGGGCACCCTTCCGTCCGCTGACACCGAGGGAGGGGCACCCTTCCGTCCGCTGCCACCGAGGGAGGGGCACCCTTCCGTCCGCTGACACCGAGGAAGGGGCACCAGTCCTCCCCCCTCCCAACGTCAATGACGAGGCACTGTTTACTCCCTTGTCTGCAATCGTGCCCCGCAATCGAGGTCTGAAGGACAGTAAGCTGGCCCTTTGTTTAGAAAGTGTGGATACCCCTGATCTATTTTCTGTGGGTACCCAAACCTGTGTTGAGGAAAAAGTCGAGGCAGCCAATGCTGACCTCTCTTCCTATAAATGCTAGTAGTTGGCTGTAATGCTAATCCAATGATATGGGAGGAGGAAACAAGCTCCCTTGTCTCCTCCTCCCATGCTAGTCTCCAGGACTTCTCCAGGGCCTCCCCCATCCTTTCGAACTCTCTACCTCAATATATCAGACTGTCGCCTTCTATGCCCACTTTTAGGTGATCTCTGAAAACCTATCTCTTCAGGGAAGCCTAACCTGCCTTCAGCTATTAACAGAATCTTCTATTCCTTCTACCAGTCCATCCCCCACAGTTATTACCTTTTGTACCACCAGCCCCTCCCTATTAGATTGTAAGCTCCGAGGAGCAGGGTCCTCCTAACCCTCTTGTATTGTTGCTGTATTGTCTCCTTTTTATATTGTAAAGCTCTGAGCAAACTGTTGGCACTATATAAATCCTGTATAATAATAATATCAATGCCAGAGAAGATCTCCTGACGTTTCTCAGATGTTACTGATCTGCAGACTTGTTCCATCCCACAGCCAGGTAACAAGCATTTCCAAGCGTAGGTCCACATGGGAATCCTACTTATTTCTTTAATGATGGATTTACTTTCATCCATCGTTGTTTCTCTGCCTGGCTGATTATCGTGTGACTCATAGAAGTCACAGATGTGCGAAACTCTGTTTGGTAGGCTGTATAGGAAAGTCTTGTCGGAGATTTTCTCAGATTGCATCAGCCTGATACAGCTGCCTGCTTTAAGGACACGTCCACCTCTGCTATCATCTCCATGTCTGGAGGTGTTCTATGATCATTTGGAGATCTCCCATTCTCTGCATTGTATGGAGTTCTTTTGGTTCTGGTCTGTATGCAGCTTTGTTGTACCAGTATAGACCACTGCCACATGTTCCCGGCCTCCATAGGAATGAAAGTTCTGTGCTGGGCTGAGGATCTTCAGCTGTATTACAGAAGATTGTTACTTTGCTGTTGTTTTTCACTTTTATTTTTTAAATTTTTTTTAGACAAATTTTTTTTTTGTTTTCCAAACAGGAAAAAAAACAGTGCACATATCCACCTTAAGACCAGGCATTTTCTAACTCTTTTTGTTTACATCTAAAAATCAGTATTTCCTAGAAAATTACATAGAACCCCAAACATTATTTCTTTTAAAGCAGAGGCCCTAGAGAATAAATTTGTGGGTGTTGCAATTTTTTATGTCACACAGTATTTGCGCAGCGGTTTTTCAAACACAGTTTTTGTGGAAAAAAGTGAACTTTAACCATTTCTGAACCAACAATGTACCTGTATGTCACTGAGCATTCAGTGGTTATACCAGAGTGATGCCGGCAGTCAGCTCTCTTGTACAAGCAATCCCCTATAATAGGCAGTGACTGGTTCTCTATACTGATAAATCTGGGGTCTGGTATACCCCAGATATCCTCTTTGCCCTTTAAAAGCTTTGGATCATACCAAGATCGGTATGATCCAATGCTTTTTTCAAACCACTAAGGCTTTGTTTACAACAGTGAAACCGGAATTGATGAAATGCTCATCACTTCTGGTTTTTTAGGCCATAGAGATGATCGGTGCTGCTCTGGTTTCTGATCTGCTTTATGGTTAGCTGCTGGGACCGCCAGCTGCACTTTTGGGTTCCCCAGTAGGACGGGAGAGCATGAGAGAACCGTGGGAGGGGGGCCATTCCCTTTCCGCTGCTTGTAAAAGCAATCCAGTGGATAATTAGCTGCTGGGATTTCTTATACAGGAAAACTGACCGTCAGCTGAAAACAATACTGGGATGATGCCTGCAGGTCATCTCTGGAGCGAGCAAGAAAGAGTGACTGCGTTCCTACATACAGTGAAACTAAGCAGAGCAAATGTACCCACCCTCTAACAGAAAGTCGGATCACAGCAGAAAAAAACATTTGGTGGGGGCTGAGGGCAAAAGAAGGGAGTTCGTGATTGCAAAGTCAAATTATTTTATTTTATTTTTTTTTTCAACAAGTTATACTTGCCTGCTCGGTGAGTGGAATTGCACAGAACAACCCTGAACCTCCTCTTCTGGGTTCCCCTGCTAGGGCCCATGGCTCTTCTTTTTCAAGTGTCCCCATTTCAAGCCTCTTGCTATAGGGGCACTCTTGTGGGCTTGATCCAGAGCCGGACTGTATGCAGCCATAGACACAGACAGCGCAGCTCTGCTCTTCACTCTCATCAAAGGATTTGACTTGACAGCAGCATTAGCCAATGACTCCCACTGCCTCAGCAGATGGGCACAACGCTGGATCAAGTGAGGACTCAGGGAAGAGGGGGGGATGCTGCTAACTAAACATTCATGGATGTCACATCACTGGAGGGGGGACGTAAGTGGTGCAAACTTCAGTTCCATTTTAGTGAGCGATCTTATGATTTGATCTGCGTTTGTAATTGGCAGTGGTGGGGTGTATGGGGTGGTAAAGATTCTAACTACAAATACAGTCCACCATTTTCCACCAAAAACCAAAATAAAAGCTTTGGTGAGACCTGTACATAGAATGTAATTGATTTGTGTATAGTGATTTGATGTGTTCCTTTCAATACAGATATGGAGACCTTTTACCTCAACGTTTTACTTCCCTGTGGGACCCGGCACAGGCTTTCTGTACATGGTCAACCTGTATTTCCTGTATCAGTATTCAACGCGACTTGAAACAGGTAAATTATAATCACATGCTTTCTCTGTTATTGTTCCTCCTTGTATCCCAAGAATATACATATCGCCCTTCAGTAGGAGGATGTTGCAGAATAGAAAAGAATTGTACATAGAGCTGAAAGGGGGTCCTGGGCTAAATATAAAGTCAAAGTAAATTCACGATTGAAATAGTTAATTCTCAAATAGCGCCTACACCACCTGTAGAGCTGTGTACGGAGCATGCTGATGTGAGGAGACAGCAGAGTGCCAGAAAGATGGCACGGGATGGGATTAGGGATAAGACCTGTAAGAGTTTAACTACAGCAGAATAAAATCAGATCTGATGTCTTGTAATTCATCTGTGTACAGGGACGGACTGACAACTCAAGGGGCCCCTGGGCAATAGGGGATCATGGGGCCCCTGTGTCCTTGCCCAAACTCTAAAAAGCCTATGAAAAAGTTACCAGTGGCATCTCATGGGGCCCCCTACTGACCCCGGGCCCTCGGGCAGTGCCCACGTTTCCAAATGGTCAGTCCGCCCCTGGATGTGTATTTTTTTTAAAAATTTTTACCTTGAGGTCAGCGTTAAAGTACATCTACCTGTATGACAGGCTAAACAGGTCCCAAATCCAGTTACTATGTGGTTCATAAGCCACATAAAGTAAACAAAAAACTTCATTTACTGATGAATAAAATATTAAAAATATAAAAGTAAGCACAGTGTTAGTTAGCTGTAGACTGCAGTGCTGCACTTATTGATATGTAATCTTCTATATAGTATGTCACCGAAGTGCATATTAATGTCAGCTGGCTGCATGTATGACAAAGATACTAGAGGGCATTGCAGGAGTTTATCACAATTTTTTTAAAAAATCTTCCTCTATTTTATCTGAGTCAGTCAACTCCTTTATTTGTATCTCACAAAATAAGACGCCCCCTCCCAGACACTGCAGCTCACAGTGGGAGGGATTCAGAGGCAGTGCTGCCAATCCAGAAAAGCAAGTGTTCTGGAAGATGACTAGGTGGATCAACGCTATGTTTGGAGGAGGAAGAACAAGGCCTATGATGCCTACTGTGAAGCATGGTGGAGGGTCAATCATGCTTTGGGCTGTTTTGCTTCTGCAGATTGACATGCCTATGAATTCTGTAGGAGATATTGGATGGAAACGATGCAGTCGTCAACTGCTTGGGACTTTCAACAGGACAATGATCCCAAGCATACCTTACTAAGCTGGTTGCAGAGGAAAGGCTGGAACTTTTGGAGTGTACCATACATCACAGAAACCTCCATTAGAGACTTCACAAAGGTTGTGACCAAAATTATTCAACCCCCAATGCTGTAAAGGGGTTTAGGGACTATAGTGACATTTGGAATTGTATTCAGCTCTGATGAATACCGAAATACCAAAACACTTGTCATCAATTGTTATGTAATCAGTTTATAAATGTTATTACCACAATTATTCAAAAAGACTACCACTGCTGAAGAACAGAGGTTCAAGTGCTTTCCATCAGGATTGAAAACACTGTGGGGGTTGAATCAAACAGATAATGCATGAATAAGAAAAGAATTTGGGTTATTTCATTATGACTGTGATACTCATCCTTCTAGACATACAAGTGTGTTAATGTAAATGTAAGCAAGAGAATGGATCAAAGACAATGTCAAAGAGGTGATTTCTCTTCAGGGGGAATGGCTATAAGAAGATTGCACAAGATGTTGAAACTTAGGGGGAACCTTAGGAAGCACACATGGGAGTTGAAACGCTACCTGTTTTTCCTTTAAAACCCCCTTGACTGGGTTACAGACAGCAATAAAAAACCCAACAGATTTCAACTCCTCCCTACTCTGTTCATAATGTCATACCCTCAGCTATTGGTCACCTTACACAGAGGAATACATCAGAGTTCAGAAATGTTATTTTCTATATAAGACTTGGATCAGTAATCATTTAAAGATAAGTGTGGCCAAAGCTTTTTTGGTCATACTTCTCTTGTGGGTCACAGGAGTGCACTTACTTTCGCAGTCCTTTGATTCAGAGTCAGCTTATTGCAGGCTATATTGCCTGCTGTCAGCTGATTACCTCCAAGCCAACTAGACATGGGTTTGGATTTTGGAGTGCCATCGCAGTCACCAGACATAAATCCGATGAGAACCTCTGTGGGACTTAAAGAAGCAGTTGCAGTGCGCAAGCCTAAGAATGTACTGAACTGTCACAGAGGCACTCCAGGCTCTGGAAGGATCATGACAATGTTGTTGACAGATCCACCCAACTCCTCCCTGATTGACAGCTGACTCTGACACTCTGGAAAGCTGGAGCCAGCTGCGTCCACCCCTCTTCAGCCTGGTGTGTCCTCCTTTTTTTTTTTTTTTTTTTCCACCCAACCATTAGCCGCCCGGCCCAATGGCCGTTTGGCCCGGCCAATGGCTTGAAATGCGCTCCTAAATTCCGGGTGCACGCCATTTGGCGTGCTCCCGCACATGCGCAGTTTGCGGCACAGCAGAGCGGCGCAGCAGCGGGATCTGTCACGGGTCGTGCACCTCGGACACGGCCGATGACAGATCCGAGTACCGGCTCCCGTAGCTGGTACCATGTGACCTGCTGTGACCAATCACAGCAGGTCACATGATAGTTGTATACAATGGATGGCTTCATTCATGATGCCATCCATTGTATACTAGTGCCTAGCTGTGAATGGTCACAGCAGGTCACATGCACATGTCATGTGATTAGCTGTGACCAAATCACAGCTAAGCACAAAAAAAAAAAAAAAAAAGCTGAATGAATCGATTTCATTCAGCTAAATGCTTGCTTATAGCAAAGTAATTCTTTGCTATAAGCAAACTGTGTATAAAAAAAAAAAAAAAAAAAAAATACTGATCACTCCCCCAAAGTAGTACAATGTTACTATGGTAACATTGTACTACTTTGGTCATAGTAAAATATGAAAAAAAAAAAATCTTTAAAAAAATGTAATAAAAAATTAAATATAATAAAAAAAAAAAATATATATATATATATATATATATATTTTTTTTTTTATACTGTCACCAGTCAGTGTCCATGTTCACCGCCATGCCAGTTATATGAAGACGCTGTACTGCACTGGTGACAGTATGTAAAAAAAAAAAATGTGAAAATAATTTTTTTAATTTGTTCATTTTCCGAAAAATTATGACAAAAAAGTACAACTTCAAAAAACTCGCCATGCCTCTTATGAAGTACGTCGGACTGTCTACTCTGCAAAAAGGGGTAATTTGGGGATATCTGTACTATTCTGACATTCTTGGACCTCAAGAAATTAGATTGGCTTTCAGTACTTCAGGATTGATCAATATTCAGATCTATACCATAGTTTGTGAACTCTATAACTTTCCTACAAACTAAAAAATACATCCTAATTTGGGTTATTTTCACCAAAGACATGTAGCAGAATACATCTCGGCCTAAATTTATGAAGAACAATTATTTATTTGTAAACTTTTATAACAGAAACAAAGAAAAATGTGTTTTTTTTTCAAAATTTTTGGTCTTTTTTTGTTAATTTAGCAAAAAATAAAAACCCCAGCGGTGATTAAATACCACCAAAAGAAAGCTCTAGTTGTGTGAAGAAAATGATAAAATTTTAGTTTGGGTACAATGTTGTATGACCGTGCAATTGTCATTCAAAGTGTGAGAGCGCTGAAACCTGAAAAATGGCCTGGGCAGGAAGGTGTAAAATCACACGGTATTGAAACGGTTTTAAATAACTCCAAACTTCTCCTTTTCAAAGGTTGGGTCCATTTTCAAACAAAATTCACTTATCCTTTTTGCCCACTGACAACCCCCACACCTCCACTGCTAACCTAGGTCCTCCGTAATGCATACCTGCCTTGCAATCATGCCGTGTCCTCAGTGGTGTGTTTACATAGCGCTTCTAATCTTCCATGCATTGCCGGAGCAGTGACTTTCTAAAGGGTTCTATGGACTGGGAGGGGATGATTAGAAAACCGTGCCATTGAATCCTATAGCTACTGTGAAGATCAGCAGTGATCACAAGATAAGTACATGTCTGGGGGATAATGGGAGGAGGGGCAAAAAGGATACATACAATCTGTTTGAGAAGTTCACTTCTGCTTTTCTAAAGCAGAATTCTGGGCACAAAAACATTCATTTGAATGTATTCTTCAATAGCCACAAATGATCTAAATATACTCTTCTGTGCACTAAATTACTTCCTAAATCCAGATATTACCTTGTAAAAGTAGCAGTGACATCACTGTGCTGTACGTAGCCTATGCAGAGAGCAGATCTGAGGGAGGGACCCAGCAGGCTTCACCCACTACAGGCTGCCTACAAGAGGGGGCGGAGACCAGACCAGTCACCCTGCACAAGTGAGCGCAGCAGTTGACCAGTCTTTATTACAGAAGTCTCACAATGGATTACTGTATAGATCTGGAAGAAATACACAAAGCAAAGCAAGATTCAAGTAGGATTACACATGATGAATGTACTTAAATGATAATTGCTTATCCCGGAGTCCAGCATTAAATCTGTGTTTACCTAACCAGTCTGTTTTCGATCTGTGTCCCTCTCTATTTTCTAGGTGCATTTGATGGAAGACCTGCAGATTACATGTTCATGCTCCTGTTTAATTGGATTTGTATCGTTGTATCCTTTCAATGGAAATCACAACTCTGAATGGACTTAGCAGTGTTTACAATAGTCTGTTCACCCAAACCTCTGTTTCAGTTTTTGTAGAGGCTTGTTTTCTTGTATCTGAAGAGATCTTCTCTAGACCCGTATGTCACGGATCGCACAATCGCCGCCACCAACATGCGACAATCGCACGACCGTGACCAACAGTAATACGTCACGCCCGCGGCGTCATACCCCAGACCTTTTCACCACTCGTGACCGAAGGACCGGCCGATCTAAAACCGCGCTGTGACGCACATGACAGGGCCCCACCCAGCTGCACTCTGCACAGCGATTGTCCAGCTAATGGGCTACAATCGGTGCCTGCAGCCTGAATGCGCTTGTTACTGGGTCGGGTTAATTACGCAACTAACCCTCTACTGCCCCCACCGTCTTTTTTTTGTCAGAGAAGAAGGAAACTCTCATTATCAGATATACACTATAATGATTGAAAAGTCGCCTGTCCAATGCGGACCCCGTAGGGCAATTGGGCAGAGAATTAAACAAACACAGTAGCGTCTCTTCAAAAGGCAGGAATTTGTGAATTGCAAGTAAGCGCTTAAAAACAGTTTAACACTTACAGAAAGAAAGATTTATTACTAAAAGAGTCAAACAGGTGCAATAAAATATTTACAAAGAGATGTCACGAAAATAAATATATATATGTATATAAAGATACATCAAAGAGATAATAGGAAGGAAGTTACAGGGTTAAGTTACTTGCCAATATGCCTTGGTTTGTAAGCAGATCCAAGTGCAGAGCAGGAAGGGTCTTTGATCTCCTCTGTTACGATGTTAAACTCAGGAGATGTGCTTTTTTACGATGTTAAACTCAGGAGATGTGCTTCCAGGCTTGCAGCCTGTCCTTTTTAAAAATCCCTCTGCAAGGGGGGATGGCTCTGAATACTGGTCATTACGCTGTTTTGGGAGGGGTCAGGAGAACTCTGAATTAGAACCAACATCTGTCATAATCCATGACATGAAACATAGGGGGAAAAAAACCTGACTTGAGGAATGTTCATTTCATTCTGACATCTTTACTGTTAGGTTCTGTGAGGTTTCAAATTCTTTCAAGTCCTGGGAGAAGCTGCCTTATCTGTATTACGATGGGTGAGCCTACACAAGGTCTGGGATCAGTGCTTTTAGGTGAGAAAGGTTACGCTTCCGCAGACTGCCTGGCACTGGACCAGGGATGCTTTACCCTGTGGTTGACCCACATCATCTGTCAGGAGATAAAGTTTGCCTCTCAGGAAGGGAGGGGGTAGGGAATAAGGGCTGAGGAATACTTCCACTGAAAAGAAAAGAGAAAGGGGAACTCTGCGTCCAACTCTGATGAGCAAGTTTGCTACACCGTATATTGGTGTTCCTGCATTCTTTACATATACAGTGGGGAACATAATTATTTGATCCCCTGCAGCTTTTGTAAGCTTTCCCACTTCCAAAGAAATGAAGGGCCTATAATTTTTATCATAGGTGTATTTTAAATCATAGAGACAGCATATCAACCACAAATCCATAGAAACACATTATACAAATGTTCTAAACTGAGTTTCAGTTCAGTTAGTAAAATAAGTATTTGATCCCCATGCTAAACATGACTTATGCCGGCCATTGATGGTTCGAAAATCGGCCGATTTTTCGTCCGAAAGAATAATTGGCCATTCTTGGCACTGTTAGTGGGGCAATGGCATCGGCCGATTTTCATGGTTCCTCCTTGTTTTGTTTATCGGTCATGCTGTAAAATTTGTGAAAAACTACTGGCTTTCGAAATCATTGGTGGCAACATTGGATTACAGAACGAACGATGTTTCATTTTTCGGCCGAAAAATTGGCCGATTTTCGAACCGTCTGTGGCCTGCTTTAGTACTTGGTGGAGAAACCCTTGTTGGCAAGCACAGAGGTAAGACATTTCTTGTAGTTGATTTCCAGGTTTGCACACATCTCAGGAGGGATTTTGGTCAACTCATCTGTACAGATCTTCTCTAAATCATTAAGGTTTCTTGGCAAACTCGAAGTTTCAACTCCCTCCATAAATTTTCTATCTATAAATTTTCTAGGCCATTCCATGACCTTAATGTGTTCTTCTTGAGCCACTCCTTTGTTGCCTGGGCGGTATGTTGTTTGGAATCTGGAGCTTGATGTCTAATGAATCTTTTTTGCTGACTATAAGCTTCCCTTAACGTTGTTACAGATAACGGGAGTGATAATGGACATGCAGGTAAGTTCATTTAATAAGGCAAGTCTACAGCAGACAGTGAGTTCTTATTCTCTGATGACACAGTGCGGGCAATCCTCCCTCCTCTCCTGTCTCTAGCACATTGCTATTGGCCCATCTCTTTGATGGGTTTCCTTGCTGGCCAAGAGGAATGTAAACAAGGAAGGATGTGGTAAGCAGGGCCATTGCTATGATGAAATGCCAGGGATTTGGCTGTGCTGTTCAGACACTAAGGCTGCAAAGCTGCTTAACCCCTTACTGCGTCTAGGCACTCTAAAGGCAAAGTTCACCTTGAAAATGCCCAATTTTTACAGGAAAAAAATGGAAGGGTGTATTTAAAATATTCATTAGCATGTTGGTCGGGGGGAAGGAGAGGCAAAATATCAGCAGATTAAACTTCAGCTTTAAAGGATAAGTTCACCTTTGGGAACATGTTACATGTTTCACCCATTTTTAGGGTGGAATAGGTAACATGTTCCCGTAGTCACAGCTGTCGCCCGACTTACCACCCAATCCAGATAATACAGGCAGAAGTCTCACCGTACCATCTGTCAAATTTGAAAACCGCGTGGCCATGCTGGACTCTGCCCGGACAGCCGCGTCGTTCATTCGTCGTTCATTCGCCGCGTCGTTCATTCGTGAATGAATGAATTTCAAGTCTTAGCGCCTGTGGGCTTGTAGTTTTCAGTGAACTTCCACAGCACTATGGAGCACCGTGGTAGTTCATTGAAGCTTACTGTCAGTATATCTGCTTGGCTGTACATCCCGTATGACAAGCAGATATTCTGACAGGTTTGCAGGAGACCTTCATGGCATCATTGATCTACTGATCACTGGTGAAATGCTTTCCGCCCTCCTGTAGACAAAAATAATAAATGCACATTATTTTTACCTGCAAAAACTGTCCATTTTTAATATATATATATTTTTTTTTGTAAAAAGTGAACTTATTCTTTATGAAATCCCCCCCATTTTGAGTGAAGCCCACCTGGTAAATGTTTCCCTTCCTCATCAGTCCCATGATGTGTGGCCTTGCCTGGCTCCACACAGCCTCTGGAAGGGAAATGCCCTGGCCAGGTATTCTCCCTAATAGGCATTGACATTGGCCCTATTCCTTCCTATGGGTGGGCTGTATTTTTTCTGAAGGGCTAGAAGTCATCTCAAGTAAAGGTGAAGTTGTCCTTTTAAGACCAGTTTTTATTTTTACATGTATGTTCTGTTCTGCATTATAGTAAAGGAAATATCTTGTGTACATTATGCTGTTACCATGCAGTGGGCTCCTAATGCCTTTGCTGCGACACTGTGCATATATGATGCTGCCCATTGGACTGCGCCTGTTTTCCGTGTGGCTGCGTATATGTGTATCTGTCTTTGTGCTGGGAACGCATCGCACACAGACCCAGGTCTCATACTAACGATCAGAACCCGGATCTCCCGTTTCTGGGTCACCTGATCGCTGTGATAGCCTCTAATTGCCTGTCACAGTGATCAACCCCTGTATTTCTCCATCTCTTTGAATGGAGAGGAAAGGTACATTGTATCTCTCTGCATGTCAAGGAGAGAAGTAAAATAAAGAAAAAATACATAGATCGTTTTTTTTTCTAGGTCAGTGCTTGCTAGCTAGTGCTAGTGTTTGGGTCAAGTATGGGTTAAAGGTAAGCCTGGGTTCACACTGGATCAGACTTTGAAATCATGCGACTTCACTTGAAGTAGTGATGTCAGAGTGACTTGGCTGACATCTGTGCGACTTCACAGATGTCAATGCAAGTTGCACCTGGAATCATCAAAAGTAGTGCAGAAACTACTTTTCAAATCGGTTCCATTGCCGATCATAAGGTGCGACTTGTCATTCAATTTGACACTGTCAAATTGCATGACAAGTCGCATCGTGTGTGAACTGTGGGCTGTATTACGGATTCAGACAATAAATGACATACACATGTGGTATTGCTGCAAGTGTTGGGAGAAGGAGAATGTATTTTGAGTTGTTCTTTGATGGTAGGTTATGGTAGTAACATGAAATACACAGCTACATTTAAAAAAAAAACCAAAAAAAACTTTTTAAACTTTTTTTTTTTTTTTTTTTTTTTTTTTACTATTTTGTGTCAATTTTCCTTTGACAATAAAAAAACCCCCAAAAAATCAAAAGATATCCATTACCATTTACCACGAAATGAAAGCACACTTTGTCCTGAAAGAAAAAAAAAAAACAGGTATAATCTACCTGGATGCAGAGAGTAGTTTTGATAATATGTTTTGATTTTACTAATACATGTCAAAGTTGCACAAATTGTGCTTAGGCATTAACATTTGTTTTACACTTAGGAGGGAAGGGGTTAGAGGACACCTATCATGAAAAAATACATAGTTTGCCTTTTCTAACCTCTCGATAAAGATGCTCGCTCTCTGGCTGTCTTCATTCCTCTCTGGCTTCAGGTCTTTTCGTTATCTGCCTAATTGTTCTGGATCAATGACTTAAAGTATTGAAGCCAGGGGATCAGCATTACAGCTTGGCAGCTGGCATTTTCAGGCACTGTTTACTCATATGACAGGCGAACTTTCAGCCACATAGCGGCTTTTACTGTAACATGCAGTGTTGCATTGGAGATCTGAACACAGCCAGCTTGCTTTCATCCAGTCCGATGTTTGATGTGGCGTCCCTGCCTCCGGGAACCACTCTGATATGAACAGAGGCGCTTACACTGCAGTCTGTTTATTCAGTGTCTAGTCCTGAAAGCAAAGCAGTTTGATAGATGCCTGTGTAATAATGGATTTCTGTCTTGTCTTCCAGCTGTTGATGATCCCTCTGATCATGTCCGTTCTGTACGTGTGGTCACAGCTGAACAGAGAGATGATTGTGTCCTTCTGGTTTGGGACAAGATTTAAGGTACGTGAACCCAGGGATGTACATGATGTACAAAGCTGTAGACTCTCTGGTGGTTATCCGTATATCACACAAGTGTTCTTGGCTTGCTGCCGACATAAAACGGTTACGGGATAAGCACTCTACACGCTGTATTGTTTGCAGTAGAGTTGGGCAGGCTGATTGACTTGCATGCAGGGTAAATCACTGAGCTGAACTGCTAAGCAAGAATATATATCGAATGCGCAAATATGTCTGCATGCGCATTTCCCTATATTTTTTCTCCCTCGGAAAATGATGCAAGTACAGCAAAAATTTTGTTGATCTGCCAGAAATCCAGCAAGCTCCAAACTTCCTCTACGTTCTGTAATGTGCTGACAACGCAGTATCTTTTCTCTGAAATCCCAGCCAGTGTTGTCAGCTTATATAACATATAATAATAAAATATATAAAAAAAAAAATTTTCTCATGCTGATAAGACATACGTTATCCTACCACAGTCACATTAGTAAAGGATCATTTAAATTACTTTGTTTATATCAAAGTGTTCCTAAACCCAGGACCCTGCATTCACTATATCTGGTCTCCCACAGTACACAGAACATAGAAATGCAATTATTATAGTAAATATAAACTGCTAAATACCTTTTCTCGTCAGCAGTATATAGCAGTCTTCTGACTTCTGTCAGTGTCTGGCCAAGCACTGGTTAAAGCTTGTGGGAGGTGTGTTTATTCTGCTCTGACTGTTGTATGAGGCTGTGTAACCTCTGACCTTCTGTGTGGACAGTGGTGATTGGCCCTGTGCTGTTCACATGCACCCTCACAAAGAAATAAAACTCTAGCAATACACACTACACTGAGTGTGTGCAGAGTGAGTCCTAGAGCTCTGTACTGTCAGCAGATGGATTGGGGACAGTAGAAGAAGAGGAAGATCAGATCAGAGAAGACAGGATCAAACAGTCTTTTTATACAATGTAGAGGTGAGACACAACATGGTGCCTGACCCCAGCCCTTCTCCCAAAGTCGTGACAAAGGACCAGCCAATCTCTCACCGTGCTGTCACTTGCATAACAATGCCACTCTCAGCTGCACCCTGCACAAATATTTTCCAGCTCCTGGGACCACAATCTATGTGCCAGAAGCCTGAGAACGCTTGTCACTGGGTTAGTTAATTACGCAATTAACCCTTCAAACTCACTGCTACCAGATAGCTTTTGGCCTATCAACCCTTCACAATGTTAACAAGAACAAATGTGAACAATAAACGTCTGTAACACACGCTGTCCCACAGACAAGTATATTCAGAGGATTATTACATACAGTAGCACTCTTCAAGAGACTGGGATGCTTTAGTTTGCATTAAAGCTTTAGAGACCATTTCAACACTTTTCAAAATAGGGTTTATTACTTAAAAGGTAAAAATGGCGCAATTTAAATAGTTACAGAAAGGGATGTTACAAAGACATAAAGCAACAGAGCAATAAAAAAAAGGACTTAAGGCAGAATACTTGAAAAGTCTGTGTTTAGCAGGGTCCAATTGTCCGAGCAGAAATGTTGCCTTGGCTCTCAAGTCCGTTAAGATGTTTCTTGGTTGATGTTAAACGAGTGCTCTCTTCTCCAGGCCTATCAGTCCTTTTCTATGGTGTCAAGGGGGTGTGGACAGAGACCAACTGACCAATAATCTAGTTTAAGGGATGGGTGTTGGGAGGTCACCAAATTTATGACCAAGTCCCAACCACAGTTTCATACTAATATTAACAACTTTCAATATGTGCAGGTGGTATTCAAGCAACTGGCAGATTATTATTCAGAATTATATTTAGAACTCAGGGATACCAAACACAGCGTATCTTTGTCACCCAGGAGGGAAGAGACTGCTTTCTCCCCTTTCCTATGGGCTAACATAGTCATGTATGACCTTGATTTGTTCGGTATGATATTCCCTATTCACATATATACCTAATATTGATTTTCCCTGTTCCTGCTGAATTCTATTAATTGTATGTGGAATTGTTACATGTGGAATAGATATTTTTTATGACACGCTCTGCGTTCCTAGAGCTCTAATGGCCTTACAGGTCATGTGTGACTGCTTGAGTGAGTTATTGTTTTATGATAGGGCAGAAGAAAATGTTTTTTTCATGGTTCCTGGAAAACAAACATCCTGCCAAGACTAATTAGCTGTTTACAGCTGCCATCCAGGCAAGGCTCTGGGGTCTATTGTGTTTTAATGAAGTTAAGAGGCTCTTTTGAAGTTCGTTACAAGTTACAGCTACAAATTCCATAGTTTGCAAAGGGGTAGGGGGGGAAGAATAGGAACACTGCTCGTGAAACCAAAATGCTGATACCTTAACAAGATGGCTGTCGCGTACAGCTTCCATGTCTTTATTGCGCCCAATTGTTACAGGGAGATTAACCTCTTTAGGTTCCACAGTGAGTATAACAAGCATGCTTTACTGCATATACAGTCTAATTTTACTGTTGTGGGATTAGTAACCCTTTGAAGGTGTATTAAACTCTCAGAGCTCCACACATTGAGCACAATGACATAATTATTCTCCAGTAAACTATTTGTTAAAATTCTTATCTCCTGAATTTCTGGGCTTCACAGGAAAATATTGAACAAATTTAACAGTAGACGGTGTGATCTAAAGCCAGTCTGTTGCATCCTAGGCTATGGGGTTTTGTACTTCTATTGATGCACACAATGTAGGGAGACACATCTCTAGTCTTTGCATGCAATGGTGGCTTCATAGGATGCTGTAGGAGAAAGCTGCCACCCTGAAACAGGAAACCTGATTATGGCACCAGCTTATACTGGAACATAGTCAAGGTTTAAATGATAAAGAAGCAGCATACTCAGTGATTAAATCAGCTACTGAAATTGCTTAATAAACTGAGTGTGTAATATCACTTTATTTGTAATTTGCAGCCACTGTAAAGGATTTGCAGTATTTTTCTGCATTGGTGGGTATGCAGAGGTCTGGGTCTTTCCATCTTTTTCTAACCATAACATGTAAGCACAAAATTCTGTTCAGTTACAGGAGGTGGCTTGGTGAAATGAACCTGTGTTTGCATTGAAGAGGACCTGAAACGTGAAAGATGTGCCCTGAAAAGGCAGGCAGAGGACAAAAAACTAGTTACCAGTATTGCCGCTAATCTTTTCATCATTACTGACTTATTGGGGACAATTCTTTAAAGGGTTATCGCATGCATTATGTCGCTCACGTGACCATATTGCATGCAATACTGAAAATGTCAATTAACTATTGCTAGTATGCAGTATTTACTGCAAATAGCAAAAACGCTTGGTAAATACCGCATTAATAGGAGGTTTAGAGTTAATTCACCGAAGGAAATAATTACACGCATGCAATAATTAAGTAGTGGTTGAGGCATGTGGTATGTACTGGTTACATAGTTAGTCTGGCTGAAAAAAGACAAAAGTCCATCCTGTTCAACCTTAGAAAAAAAAAAAAAAAGTTATAATCTTACACCCACAGTTGATCCAGAGGAAGCCAAAAATAAACCCAGCAAAGCATGATCCAATTTGCTCCTGCTGGGAAAAAAATTCCTTCCTGATCCCCCAAGAGGCAATCTGATATTCCCTGGATCAACTTTACCTATAAATGTTAGTAACCAGTTATATTCTGTGTATCCAAGAAACAATCCAGGACTTTTTTGAAGCAATCCACTGAGCTGGCCAGAACCAACTCTTGAGGGAGTCTATTCCTTATTTTCACAGCTCTTACTGTGAAGAAACCTTTCCGTGTTTGGAGATTAAATTTATTTTCCTCCAGAAGTAAAGAGTGCCCCCTTGTCCTCTGTGATGACCTCAGGGTGAATAGCTCTACACCGAGTTCACTATATGAACCACTGATGTATTTATACATGGAGGTCATATCCCCCTTATGTATTATACATGGAGATCATATCCCCCCTTATGTATTATACATGGAGATCATATCCCCCCCCCTTATGTATTATACATGGTGATCATATCCCCCTTATGTATTATACATGGAGATCATATCCCCCCTTATGTATTATACATGGAGATCATATCCCCCCTTATGTATTATACATGGAGATTATATCCCCCCTTAATCTCCTCTTCTCAAGAGAGCATAAATTCAGTTCCTCTAATCTTTCCTCATAGCTGATCTCCTCCATGCCTCTTATCAGTTTGGTTGCCCTTCTCTGTACTTTCTCCAGTTCCCCAATGTTCTTTTTGTGAATTGGTGCCCAAAACTGAACTGCATATTCCAGATGAGGTCTTACTAATGATTTGTACCGGGGGAAATGATATCTCTCTCTGGAGTCTATACCTCTTTTAATACAAGAGAGGATTTTGCTCGCTTTAGAAACCGCAGCTTGGCATTGCATGCCATTATTAAGCTTGTGATCTACCAGAACGCACAGATCCTTCTCCACCATTGATTCCCCCAGTTGTACCCCCCCCCCCAGTATGTATGATGCATACATATTCTTAGCCCCCAAGTGCAGAACCTTACATTTATCAACATTAAACCTCATTTGCCACATAGTTGCCCAATTTAAACAGTGCATTGAGGTCAGCTTGTAAGTTGGAGACATCCTGTAAGGACGTTATTCCACTGCACAGCTTGGTGTCATCTGCAAAGACTGAAATGGGATTTGTAATCTCAGACCCTATATTGTTTATAAATATATTAAAAAGTAAGGGTCCCAACACTGAACAATGGGGTACACCACTGATGACCCCAGACCATTCAGAGTATGAATCATTAACCACTACTCTTTGAATACGATCTTTTAGCCAGTTTTCTATCCATTTACATACAGAATTTTCCAAGCCCGTAGACTTTACCTTACACATTAGCCGTGTGTGGGGAACTGTGTCAAATGCTTTCGCAAAATCCAAGTATACCACCATCCACCCCTCTGTCCAAGTATACCACATCCACCGCCACCCCTCTGTCCAAGTATACCACATCCACCGCCACCCCTCTGTCCAAGTATACCACGTCCACCCTCCCCTCTGTCCAAGTATACCACATCCACCGCCACCCCTCTGTCCAAGTATACCACATCCATCACCACCCCTCTGTCCAAGTATACCACCACCCACCGCCTCCCCTCTGTCCAAGTATACCACATCCACCGCCTCCCCTCTGTCCAAGTATACCACATCCACCGCCTCCCCTCTGTCCAAGTATACCACATCCACACACCACCCCTTTGTCTAAGGTTTTGCTCACCTCCTCAAAAAGAAAACAGATTTGTTTGACAACTTCTGTCTTTCATGAATCCATGCAGTCTGTTGCTTAAAATATTTTTTTCCAGCTAGAACTCATCTATGTGGTCTTTTATTAAACTCTCCAGTATCTTCCCAACTATAGAAGTTAAACTATCACCCCTTTTTTAAATATTGGCACCACATTGGCCTTACACCAATCCAGTGGTACTATGCCAGTCATTAAAGAGTCCCTAAAAATTAGAAACAATGGCTTTGAAATGACAGAGCTCAATTCTTTTAAGGACCCGTGGGTGAGTGTCCATGCATGGCCTAGTCAGAGCCCAGAGCTAAACCCCACTGAAAATCTGTGGATTGACTTGAAGACTTAAGTCCACAAACGTCACTATCAAATTTAACTGATCTTGAGCAGTTTTGCAAAGAAGAGTAGGCAAATATTGCAAAGTCTAGATGTGAAAAGTTAGCAGAGAAAGATCCCAACAGACTAAAGGCTGGAATTAAAGCAAAAGTTGGTTCAACAAAATACTGACTTAAGGGATGGTCCTTTTTAACTCGGTGATTCTGCTTTTTGCATTTTTTTTCTTCTGACATGTTGGTGTTTATATCTTCTACTTGGATGTTATAAGTTGCAATCAGGAAATACAGCTGGATAAAACAAAAACTGCATTTTCATTTCAGGCTGCAAAGCAACAAAATGTGATTATTTTAAAGCGGGGTAATTCTTTCCTGTACCACTGTAAATGCACTTCATATGTTGCCGTTTTAATTCTGGTTACCTGTGAGTGTGACGCTATACTAACCTGATTGTTTCTCTTGCTGCAACAGGCCTGCTATCTCCCTTGGGTCATTCTTGGATTTAACTATGTTATTGGCGGATCGTAAGTATTTAACACAAAGGATTGAATTCCCTGCAGGTTAAGGACATACAGTGCAAGGATCCTAGCAATGTTTATTGTGGATCCATACCTGTCTTTTATCTGTCCTGTGAGCCCCTCCCTCCATTGCTGCAGGCTCTATTTAATTGTAAACTCACTTGCATGCCAGTCACAGTAGCAGGAAGATCTGCCTATAACCTAATCATTGTTATCACAGATCGGGCTGATTGAAGCTCCTTTTCACAGTTGATTGACACCGCAGTTGTTAGGTGAGGTTTACATCAGGTCAGATTTTCATCAGGATCAGGAGAGAAAAACGGTCTGAAATCATGTTTACAAACTAAAGATGTGCGATTTAGAAGCAGTGCACATAGAAGTCAATGAGCCTGTAATCCGCAGCTGAACCTGACTGCACTGCTCAGAAATCGGAAAGGACACTTTTTCAATTTGCACTGAATCCAAACTGCCAGAGCAAAGGATGTATGTGAACAGGCACCATAGGAAGCAATGTTATTTCACATGTCATGTGGATTGAGTGCAGTTCGAACTGCATCCAATCCACATACACTATATTGCCAAAAGTATTGCGCCAGTCCTCCAAATCATTGGATTCAGGTGTTCCAGTCACCTTCATGGTCACAGTATATAAAATCAAGCACCTAGGCATGCAGACTGCTTCTACAAACATTTCTGAAGGAATGGGTCGCTCTGAGGAGCTCAGTGACTCCAAGCGTGATCTCGTGATAGGTTGTCACCTGTGCAATAAGTCATCCATGACATTTCCTTGTTACTAAATATTCCACAGTCAACTGTTAGTGGGATTATAACAAAGTGGAGGCAACTGGGAACAACAGCACCAAGTGGTAGGCCACGTCACGTGACAGAGCGGGGTCAGCGCATGCTGAAGCACACAGTGCGCAGAAGTCGCCAACTGTCTGCAGAGTCAATAGCTAAAGACCTCCAAACTTCATGTGCCTTCAGATTAGCACAACAACAGTGCCTAGAGAGCTTCATGGGATGGGTTTCCATGGCCGAGCAGCTGCATCCAAGCCTTACATCACCAAGTGCAATGCAAAGCGTTGGATGCAGTGGTGTAAAGCATGCCGCCACGGAGCAGTGTTCTCTGGAGTGACAAATCACGCTTTGAGTTTGGGATGGAGGAACTTGACTGGCCTGCACAATTTTAACCAAAACCGTATTTAAATCAGAGGTGCTTTATGGAATGTCTGGGGCTTCTAAAAACCAAAGGGGCTTTATGGCGACTTAAACGTGTAATAATTTTAACATTACACTGTATATTTCCTCCTCCCTCCCTGCCTGTCTCCAGCACCGCACTTGGGGACTAGCAGAGAGAGGAGAGACCTTGCAGTGTAATGGGCACCGATTGGCTGCTTGCCAGGAAAGGGGAGTGTCAGGCTTATCCTTTATCCCTTTAGCTGCCAGAGCCATTTTTGTTTTTTGTTATTTTTGGTTTTTTTTTTTTTTTTGCACACTTTCAAAAAAAATAATTTAAGGCCTGAAGATTACACAAAACTGCAAAACATAATATATTTTCTGAAATCAGAGACCCTAAAGAATAAAATATTCGGTAGTTCCAATTTTTTTATGCCACACGATATTATCACACAAAGTCTAGGACAGTGGTCGGCAAGCCGTGGCTCGCGAGCCACATGCGGCTCTTTGCACACTTTAATGCGGCTCTTCTGTGTGCCGGGCGCCCGCTCCCCTCCCTCCTCTCGGGCGGCCGCCCCAAAAGTCAGGACTCTGCAGCTAGCCCAGCAATGGGCAAACTACGGCCCGCATACGGCCCAGCGGACCTTTTAATCCGGCCCCGCGGAGCGTGGCAAACATTGGCTGCCAGGATGTAGGCGGCGCAGCGTGACGAACTCCTCTCCTCTCACAGTCCGCCCTGAAAACCGGAACGGCGCGGGAACACGGCGAGAGGAACGCGCGGAGCAAAGGTAAGTGAATTGACACAATATGGGGAATGAATTACTATAGGGGGGATGAATTACACTATGGGGGATGAATTACTATGGGGGATGAATTACTATGGGGGATGAATTACTATATGGGTGATGAATTACTATGGGGGATGAATTACTATATGGGGGATGTATTTTCAGTTTTTTTAAAATGTGGCTCTCAAAATAAATTTCAATCGTGATTTTGGCGAGATTTGGCTCAGTTGAAAAAAAAGGTTGCCCACCACTGGCCTAGGAAACACAACATTTCAGTAAAAAATACACTTAATTTTGGGGCACAAAAAGCAATAAATTATCCAATTTTTTTGTAAAATAAAAGAAGAGGTTGCATCGAGTAAATAGAAATCCAACATGTCAAACCTTAAATTTGTATGCGCTTGTGAAACTGCAACAAACTTCAGTACCCTATATTTTCTATAGGTGACGCTTTTAAAGCCCTTTATAGGTCATCAGTTTAGCACTACAGAGGATGCTAGAATTATCTCTCACATTATGGCATGCGCAGTGATATATAAAGTGCAATCGTCGTTTTCATGTGTGGGCATCCCAGTGCGTGCTTTTAAGTTTGTGTGTGCATACATATGTGGGGGTGGGGGGCCTTGAAAAATCGGGGGGTGGGGGGGGTTATATGCTTTGGTGTAACTTACGTTTTTAAAACTTTTTTTTTTTATCACATAGGGGACGAAAAGTCCCCTATGTGACTATTTTTTTTTTTTTTTTTTTTGGTCACAGGTTCTCTTTTTGAGACATTCAGGGTCTAAAAGACCCTGCTTGTCTCCCCTGTGCTCCTCTGAATGTAATGCAGTGCATATCGCACCACATTACATTCTTTCCAGTCCTCGATGGCCGGGAATCTGTCGACAGCGACCCGGAAGTGATGTCATATCACTTCGGGTCAGGACAAGAAGGGTAGAGGAGCGGACCTGTCTGCTCTCCTCCCTCCTCTATAACCGCATCCCGACATACCGCTGACACCCACTAGTCCTGGGCTCGCAAACATCCCTTGTAATTGCAATAATCAGTGACAGGTCCTCTTTACTGAGACATATGTCCGACCCCACATCTCTCCTGTGTCCTAAGAGCATCTCATCAAACCAAGATCAGTTTAGGCAGGTGCTTTTTCCAAACCAAAAATGGTTTGTTTACATTCTGCAAAAAACGGAAGTGACAAAATACTCATTACTTCCGGTTTCTAATACCATAGAGATTATTGGGGAAATTCCGGTCCCCGATCAGCTCTATGGTAGGTCGGCAGAGCCACCCACTTTAGTCCCGGACTCCCCAGTGGGACAGGGAGAGCCTGGAATAGGAGCAGAGATGCTTGTAAAAGCAGTCCAGCGGCTATTTTTGCCGCTAGAATTGCTTTTACATAAAAGGGAATCGGCAGCTGAAAAAAACAATACCAGGGTGATTGGTCTATTGAATTAGTGATTTTTTAAAGTGGTTGTAAAGTTTCAAGGTTTTTTACCTTCATACTTTATATGCAAGAAGGTAGACCACTTTCTGTGTAGCAGCCCCCCCAACACTTTGCACTTACATTCACAGGCATACCCTGTGCATGCATTTGCATTTATTTATTTATTTTTTTTGGAACAGGCCCCCTATGTGATAGCTTTGGGCAGGTGACTAATTCTCACTATGCAGCCATCACGGGTCTTTTAGATCCCATAGCCTGCACTGGAGGTAATCAAGCACAGATACACCACCCACCCCCACCTACAAGCTGAGCTCTTCCGGCTTCATAAACCACAAAAGAGATTATGGGATGGATGTTCCTCAATCCCGTCTAGCTTGTCCTCCTGATCAGATGGCTCTACAGCTGCCCGGATCACTTTTACATGATAGCTGGGAGCCGACTCAGGAAAACAAATACAAGCTCATGGCTGGAGCTTGTTTTTAAAGCCTTAACTATCTGGACGTATGTAGTATGTCTAAAGAGGCAATGTGGTTAATGTTGAAAGATATTGATGTTTTCTGCATTTTCATACATATTCTTCATATTGGAACCCCATGCACAATGTATGTTGCATTAAAGGAATGCCACATATTTTTTTTTCAATGGGGTTTAGGTCTGGGCCATGCAAGAACATTCACTTTTTTCTTCTTCAGCCACTGTGTGGTCATTTTTGCTGTGTTCTTTGGGTCATTTTTATGTTGAATGGTAAACCTTCTTCCCATTAATAACTTTTTGGCAGAGTGCACTGAGTAATTACAGCTAGATAAAACAAAAACTGTGCATGTCTTCCATTCAGGCTGCAAAGCAGCAAAATGTGATTGCTTTAAAGAGGAGGGGGGCTGATTTATTTTCTGTACCCACTGTATGCACCACCATGGCCAATGCAGATCAGAGCTGAGGCTAAGATGGTCCTGTCCTTGGTGGAAATGGGTATAGTTCTGCTTTTAAAATGGGAAGGCCCGGGGAGATGGTTTTTAACTTTATTTTTTTTGGATAGGGTTTAAATCTGTCAGGATTTGATGCTGTCTGTTTTACCCACTTGTTCTGGTGACCACGAGCAGATCTCTTCTATGGGGTCATGATAAGGAGCAGCAAAACCTGCTAGTGGTGTACTTTCCCTACTTTATAAAAAAACTCATGATTAGGCTGCAATTCCACTTTAAAATGTAAATAAATTGTTTGTTTTCTCAAAAGGATCATCATCAATGAGCTGATTGGAAACTTGGTGGGTCATCTCTACTTCTTCCTGATGTTTAAATATCCCATGGATCTGGGTGGAAGAAGTTTTCTTTCCACGCCAGAGATTCTGTAAGTAAATGGCGTTGTTTGGCGTATGGCCAAACATAATGCTTATGAGGGGATTTCCAAGTGTTTGTGTTTAGCTGATAGATTATATAGAGAAAGGTAGGTAATGGGATTTTAAAGGTGCGCAAAAATAATCCCAAATAATATTTAAAAAAAAAAAAAAAAAAAGTCTTGCAATTTATTTATATCAATAAAATTACATTTGATATAGTTACAACAGACTTGGCAATCACAACAGGCTTGACTGTTTCCTGCGGTGCACAGATGATGCTTCCTAACATGTTTCGCCCATCCTGGGCTTCCTCGGGAACAAAAAGGCTATCCGCAATACAGTTCTTGAGACTATATTGCCAATATAGTTGATTAGATGCTGAATTGAAAGCACAGGCGTCCGTGTGGTTGCAGAAGGTATATAAGAAACCAAATTAGAAAAAGGGGGAGGGGAGATTATTAACAGCAGATACTCATTGCTGGATATCAAAGGTCTCCCTCATTCACAAAGACTCCACACAAGCATTACGTCCATAAAGATGTGAAGGTTGAACACAGCGTCAGTACATTAGAGATCACCCATGTGGCCACACACGGACGCCTGTACTTTCGATTCAGCATCTATTTGTTTTTTTGTTCTAATGAACTATATTGGCAATATAATCTCAAGGACTGTATTGCGGATAGCCTTTTTCTTCCCCTGAGGAAGCCCAGGATGGGCGAAACATGTTGGGAAGCATCATCTGTGCACCGCAGGAAACAGTCAAGCATGTTGTGATTGCCAAGTCCATTGTAACTGTATCAAATGTAATTTTATTGATATAAATAAATTGTAAGAAATCTTTTTTTTGTAAATATTATTTAGATAATTTTTCCACACCTTCAAAATTCCATTACCTACCTTTCTCTATATAATTTTTGATAGGGATGTGGCGCAATATGTTGGTGGTCAATTACTCGTCATTCTTTCAATCGTTTGCTGATAGATATAAAGGCTTGATAAAGAAACCATTATCTTTTCTGCTGGCTACAGGAATGGTGGTCGCTCTTGCAGCTTCATCCCCTTTTTTTTTTTTTCTTTCCCCTTGTGCAGATGTCACACATACAAGTGAAGTAAAATCTCCCTAAATGCATTGCAGACAAAAATAAAACTCTATCCAAAGTGTACACTTCATACACACAGTGGAAGGGGCTGCTCCCCCATTCATCCTGGTAAAGCTGAACTCTGGCTTTGTCTTTAGTCTTGCACAGCTGTACCGGCTCCTCTCCTGGACTGAAATACCTTACTCTGATTTCCCTGCACACTGTGAGCTTCTCACAATGTGCATTAGAAGCTGAAGCATTATCTAGTTCTTTCCTCTCCATCCTAACTGTCCCTGGCCCACCCCTTTCTTTGATTGGATTTCAGTTATTTCAATCCCTGGCGTCTCATTATCGTATGTGGATATTATCTAGGATGGTTCGCATGCAAATGCAGCCTACCTGGGAATTTCCATTTCTCCAGATGGACATCTGCCCATCAATGTATTTGCATAACTCCTCCCAAGAGCCAGCCCACTACTTGAATCAGGGGTGAGGGCTCCTGAAAAAAATCACAGCACCCTGCCTCAGTACTCCTTCCTTTCAAGGAGCTATGCTGACCCCTCCCACCATCCATGATTTACCTGCGCAGATCATAGAAGCACAGAGAGCCAGTGATGACCCCGCTGGGTCTAAAATAGGGATGTAATACGAACAGGTTTTATTGAAATAGTTCATTAGCATGTTGATGATGGCGGCCCTCAGGGACCAGGGAAAGCAAAATATAAGCAGAGTAAATGTCAGCTTTAAAGTGGTATTAAGCTCTAAACCAAAAATATAATACAATACAGTATACTGGTCATTAGATGTGGTGGGATGCATTAGTTTTCTTCTTTCAGGCTTTTTTTCCCCCTCTATTTTCACCTGATCTGACCAGTAACACACCTCCTGTGTGCCTTCACTCTGGATAAAGGAGCATGGGGCACCTTTGGACAGCAGTACTGTCAGCCTGCAGGGAGAGGAGTGTTAGATAACACTAGCAGATTTAAATACACTAGAACATTGAAGTGAAACTCCAGCTCATACTTTAGAATCAGTTCCAGCAAACATGTTTTTTTTTTTTTGTTTTTTTTTTCATTTTGGATAAACGTTTTACACCTAGTAAAACAAAGATGATCATGTTATGCACCCCTGTCAGTGGGAAATGGTTTGTCTCAGCACTCTGATACATCTGCCCAGTGCCATTAGTACAGTGTCAGTGCTTTTTATCAGCACTGATCACTGTATTGGTGTCACTGGGGATGTCAGTGATACCAAGTCGGTTCCCCCCCAGTGTCAGAATGCCCGCCGCAGTCCTGCTATAAGTTACTGCTCACTGCCATTAAAAATTAAAAAAAAAAAAAAATCCCAGTATATATACCGCCATTTGTAAACACTATAACCTTCACGTAAACCAATTAATTTTACACGTATTGGGGTTTTTCTTAGCAAAGACATGTAGCAGAATACATTTTGGCCTAAATTTATGAGGAATCTTTTTTTTTTTTTACTAGACATGTTTAATAGCAAAAAGTAAAAAACATTGTTTTTTTGCTCAAAATTGTCGGCACAAAAAATAAAATCGCACAGGCGAACAAATACCACTGAATGAAAGCTCTATTCGTTGGGAAAAAGGACTTAAATTTCATTTGGGTGCAGTGTTGCATGACTGTGCAATTGTCAGTTAAAGTAACGCAGCGCCATATCTCAAAAAATGGTCTGGTCAGGCGGGGGGGGGGGTAAATCCTCCGGAGGGCAAGTGGTTAACAATGCTTTAAGTATTTGTATTGGTAATATTAAGTGCTCTACATTTTAAAACAATGTTCTTTTTTTTGTTCAATCATAATTCTAAAAACGTTCTTCATTTCCAGGTACCGCTGGTTCCCAAACAGAAGAGGAGGAGTCTCCGGATTCGGTATCCCACCTGCCAGTGCCAGACGAGCAGCAGATGAGCAAGCAGGAGGAGGAGGCGGAGGGGGCGGGCGACACAACTGGGGTCAAGGGTTTCGGCTAGGCGACCAGTGAAAGGAAATGGCTTCCTCTTCCTCGGAAGGGGAATTTTGTGTGGTAAACTTTTTACATTTTACTTTAACTTTTGAACTTGTAAGGAATAAAAACTTATGCAAGAGGCAGTACAACTGCCGACAACACAAAATTCTGTATTGGCATTAGATCAAAGGCGTCTCAAATCTGCATCTACAAGTTGGGCCGCGGTGTACCACCTTATTGCCACTTACTTTTACTATTTAAATTAGATGATCTGTGCCACCTTATCTAGCTTGGTTGAGAATATTCTATATAAGTTCTATGTTGTTGCATATTATTTGTGGAAGAAGGAGATCACAAGACGACGAGTGTTCTTTCTTTGGATGTGATGCTGACGGTACTGAAGCTGACTGTTTGACCACTGCGATTGGAAAGCAACGAGCCACTGAACCGTGTCAGTCCAAACCAAATTCCTTCTGTTATTGTTAGAAGGGTGAATAACATCTACAAATATGCCGATTAAAATCTATTCAACATGATATTCAACAATGTGATTTTGTTGCTGTCAGCAATTGAAAGTTTATTTTCAGACCTAATTTTTGTTACCATTAAATTGCTGTGGAAGCCGAACTCCAGGCAAGAGACTACTGATATAGTTTTGAAAATAGATGTGATAATGATCTTACCTTCAGCAGATTTTTTATTTCTGTTGAGATCCAGGTGCTACAGCCAGGTTCTGGACCCATACTGCAGATAAGCAGCACAGCGTGGTCCAGGATACATCCCCAACCCGCTGATTGGACAATAAAGGAGCAGCCGTATATGGAGTCATCCCTGAGCTCTCCCTTTCATGCAAGCACATTGAGCATTTGATGAACAGCTCGGCAGCGGAGCCTGATTGGCTGCTAGTATTGCCCCTACCCCTGCCTGTCTGTGTCCTGTTTTATAGAGGACTATAGGAAGATGATATAAAGACCCATTCAGGTATTTTGACTATTTTTACGAATATATATTTTCTTTTTTTTTTTTCCTTGGAGTTCAGCCAAGTATAAAAGCGATAAATTATACCAAAAGGCACCCCCCCCCCCCTTTTTTTTTTTTTTTTATTTTGGATAAAGCAGGTGAGGGTTAACGCCACTGTCAGATTTTTGCTACTTGCATTACGTTAGGAAGACGTTACCTCACTTCCTGTTCTGTAGACTCAACAGGAAGTCTGTAATGTGAAGAAATTCTCTTCTTTAGTCGTCACAGGAACAAGTGTCTCCATTGGAAAGTTCCCTTCTCTTCCTGTTCTAGTGCCAACTCAGATTTTCGGTTTTGTCTTTGCTTTCATTCCTGGTGACACGGGTGGTTAGGACAGTTAGAGTGAATTTCCCAAATGGGGGCATAGACCCGACATGGATCCTAATCCCTTGTTACTCCATGCCATGGCCCATGTAAATTCTGACAGATTGAATGTTAAAACCTAAGGTAGAGATGCTGTTTGCTGATGTACAATCTTTATGTAGGCATTGTGGAGGTCCCAGAGGCCATGAAGTGAAAGGGCCAGCCATTGAAATGAAAGGCTTAATCGCATTTGTTGGGACAGATTCACCCTGCTCAATGCAAAACCAGTGTTCCCGGTTACATGACACCTTCATAAACTTTGTACAGATCCCCTTTACTGTTAATGACGGTACAGGTCATGCAGGAGCAGGGCATTGCCAGCATGTGCAGAAATGATTGTAGCTTTTCTGGATTCAGTAAGGTTTTATGTAACCACAAGTAGTGCCTTGTAGTATTTGATGACAACAGTTGAAAGCATATCGATAAAATACGTGCTTTTGATGTCAATTGGTTATTCTACTAATGCATTTACTTAAAGGGCCAGCAAACCTTCCAGAGGTTTACATTAACCGTAGACATGAAATTGACTAGCGCAAAATAACTGTCTGATTGGGTCTAATTTTGGAAAGGATTTTGTGTTTGGATGTACTGTAAGCTCTAAAGATACTTCCTGGTAAAAGATGGTTCAGAGGGTTTTTTGTGCACTGACATGATCATGCCTGTGTATGGAAAGCTATTTTGCCAATCGGGTCCTATTATCTTATGCTGCATGGATGGCCTCAGCTGACCTGACGACAAAAGAAAGTTCTGAGAATAGACATGTTGGTCTACACAGCCAGCTTCCTGTCCAGTAATCTCGGAGAAGGACAAGCCTCTAGACAAAACACCTATAGACAGGCAAAGTATTGGATGGATATGGTCTTTATGGACCTTCCCTGTTGTTTATGAGCTTCTCCGTTTTTAGGTTGTTTAGTAACTGTTGAGATGGAGGGTGTCATTCATGCAATAATCATGGTTGGTGATATCCTCAGTCAGACTTTGCTGGGGTCTGAGACCTGTAGCACTTGCATCCGAGTGTTGTGTAAGTGCATTGGAAGCCCTACTAATCTTCATATAAACAAGCAGCTTGTATGGCAAGGACAGGAGGGGGTTCAGCTCAGGATTGGGCTCAGAGTTGGGATTCAAGCAGGCTCAGCAGTAATGGCTGTTGGATCATTTGTTCATTGACCATCTTAGCAAATATTTTGTGGTGCGGTACACTGCCTATGTGCAAAATTCATGGCATTTCACTGCACTGTGTTGGGGCGTTAGGATAACATATGGTAGATCATTAATTTTTACCTTGCTTTACCACAATGCACTGGTGAGAAGTCATTGTATGACTCCAGAGGGTACAATGAAAAATAAAGCACCTTATCAAGGTCTTAGTAAAGGACGTGCAGCACTATACACCAAGAAATAAGCAGAAAAGACACCAATTGTCACTTTGGTGGTATCCACCTCCAGGTCTATACTCTATGATCAAAAATGTGAACATCCTCACTGGGTTTAAGGCAGCTCAACCTGTTATTAGAGAAGTGACCAAATGAACTAGGTGCATTCTATAGAACTTTAGTGTCATTCAGCTCTGAAATACACATAGGCAAACGTTAAGAACAGCTCTGCATAAGATGGGTTTGTTTTTTGGTTATGTGAATTGCCCTTCCCCTGTGCATGTACTGTTGTGGAAGTTCATCATGAACTCTACCATAGTGAAACGGCTACACTATATGGCCAAAAGTTTGTGGACATGTGACCATTACACTTGTATTGGCTTGATGGACATTCCATTACAAGCCCATGGAGCATATGGAGCTGCCCCTCCTTTGTGGCTATAAGAGCCTCTACTCTTCTGGGCTTTCCACAAGATTTTGGAATAGAGTTGGGAAATGGTGCCCATTAAACCAACCAAAAAAATGTTGAGGTCAGGTACTGATGTTGAAAGAGAAGATCTGAACTGTAATAGGCATTCCAGTTCATCCAAGTTCCTCCATATCAAACCAAGTCTTTATGGAGCTGGCTTTGAGCACTGGGGCACAGTCTTGCCGGGGCAGAAAATCGTTGGCCAAGGTTGGAAGTGCACACTCAAGTTCCTCCACAAAGAACCCATTAAACCAGGTCTTTATAGAGCTGGCTTTGTGCACAGGGACACAGTCATGGTGAAAAAGAAAAGGTCCTTCCCCAGACTGTTACTACGAGGTTGGAACCGTGCAATGTATCTTGTATGCCGATGTTTGTCAATGGGGTTTGCATAGCTACAGGCTCCTGGTTTTGGAATATAATGTACAACAAGCTCATAGAAGTGTAATGGTTAAGACATAATCCCTTGGCCATACATTGTACATTGCTCTAGATCAAGGGTCTTCAAAGTTTCTAAACAAAGGGCCAGTTTACTGTACTTCAGACTTTAGGGGGACTTGACTTTGGCCATTGGGAGTAGGAATTGTCTTGGCATCAGTTGAAGTAAACAATTCATCTTTGGTATTAGGGGAAAGAATAGTGCCCCAAGATTGGTGTATGTTTTGAGGAATAGCACCCCATTGTTGGCATCAGTGGTAGAAATAGTGCCGCATTGTTGTCAGTAGCAGGAATTATGCCCCATTGTTGATGTCAGTCGAAGAAATGGTGTCCCCTTTGGTGTCACCAAAAATGACACCATTTCTTGCACTATCAGTGTAAGTAATGGTGCCCCATCTCTGATGGCAGTGTAAGTAATGGTGTTCCAACATTGGTGTCAGTGGAAAGAGTGGTGCCCCATTGTTGGTGTCAGGTTATCAGTGGAAGAAATAGTACCCCAACATCCGTGTCAGTTTGAGGAATAGTGCCCCATATTTGGCATCAGTGGGAGAAATAGTGCCCTTATGTTGTGTCAGTAGCAGGAGTTGTGCCCCATTTTTGGGGACACTGCGAGGAATAGTGTCTTATATCCGTGAATTGAAAAGAGCTGCATATTTGTAGAACACTGCTGTAGATAAACCACTGGAGGGCAAGTGATTCCAACACATGGTGTACTGTGCCCCAATAGATTCTTCGTAGAAAAGCATGGAGAACGCTCCTTTGTGTTTGACAGCCACGTCAACATAAAATGAATGCGCTCCCTTGTGTTTCTGCCTGTAATTTATTGCTTTGTTTTCATTTTCTTGATTAAATTCTCAATGCCCTTCTTACTTTGATTACAAGTTTTCACTCTGCTATCCTGACCTCACCCATATTTTTTATTTTTTTTTCAAACATTGCTGGAATCCACCTAACATCATTGTAACTGATAGTTGGGCATAGTCTATTATAGTGCAAGTCACGTAAAACTCAGGAGACATACGTCGATCCCTACAAAGATATGGTTGTTTGGGTTTTTTTTGCTTTTTTATGGTCACATGATAAATCAAGAAGAGAAAAAATTTAAGTACCTAGTCAGGTGTCATTTAAAAACTGTGAGGTCGAATGTAAATCTTTATCGAAACCAAATGTCTCATGCATTGAACCATTTTTGCTGTTTGGAAAAGGTTTTCCCCATCCGTTCCAAAGATGGATTTAACAAATGTCATTGCCTATAACAAGTGCTTGAGCAACTTTGTACAAATATATTCACATTAACCAGTTAATTAATAAAATGGAATAAACTTTACCTAAGTGTTGCAGCGATGGATAAAGCGATCCGAAAGAAGATCAGAAAA